TGAGATTTGTGCTATTTTGCTACTGTTCACTTGACTGCTGTGAAAAATGAAAATGACATTGAATGATGTGCAGCTAGGCCATTTCAAATATAATGCTAGATACTTTTATTCCAGACTTGAATCCTGTTTGAAGAAAGTAGAAATAGAAATCTAGTGTGTGGACCTGTCTTCATCTCCATTGGTGGTACTGATCAAGAAAGAAATAGCCACTTCTTAAAATAGTGAAGTTTCTGGGTGGTCCTGAAAATTCCAAACTAATTAAAGGGAAGACAGAAAAACAGAAAAAGGATTCTGTACTGCTTTACACTTAAATCAATGGTTTTCTGTATTTTTTGGACTTCTGCTCTCCCCCCCCCCCAACCCCCGAGTTTTGTTAGTCCTTGTTCTTTGAGAATGTTAAGAACACATCATTTTCAGGGGAGGAATTAATGCCTTTAGTTTGCTCACATGGTTCTTCTCTTCCTTAGGACCTTAGGTGTTTAATGCATCCCTGCAATGAGTATCTATAATTCAGACTCACCAGAATCCATCTGACCACTGTTATATTTTCAGGAGTGTTGGTGTCAGAAGGCCATTCTAGGATGTCACTTTCAGTAGTCTGTGAAGGTGCTAGCTTTGGTGGACTCTTCTAAAAGTTTTACCCAGCCAAACTGGCACAAATCATTATGCTTTTTTATATACAGTAAAATCTCTAATCTCATACTCTCTTAGTTTATTCTTTTTCTATGGTTACTATAGCTAATATTCTAGGTAATTAATGCTACAGACTTGTCAAATGTTCTGCTTCTTACCTTTTCTGATAAGCCACTTGCTTGGTGCTGGTGTTTAGGCCTAGTGACCAGTGGACACCAGCAAGGTGAGTAGAGCAGAACCATCAGAAACCCAGCCGCAGCTGTCTGGTCTCTGGGTGACTGCCATCAGGAGAAACTGACTAGGCGAGGCTGAAGTCTTTAATTTAAAGAGCTGGCTCATGTCAGTAGGGCACACCTGAGCATCCCACTATATAGAAAGGCATCTGGGGCTGGAGTATAAGAGCCTCTGAACACATAGGCAAAATGTGGAAGCAGAGAACTGGGAGGGCCTGTTCAGGGATACACACAGCCGGCAACCTGGCACTGCGGAAGCCAGGCTCTAGGGCTAAGCCTCTGAGTCTAGTTCTTGGAGGGGATCTGGCAGTGTCAAGGAGTGACACTGAAAGCAGACTCCTAGGCAAGGGCTCAGGTAAGGGAAGCCAGGCTCCCAGGCAAGGGCTCCCTGGCAAGGGAAGCCAGGCTCTAGGGCTAAGCTTCTGAGTCCAGTTCTTGGAGGGGATCTGGCAGTGTGACAGATCTGGCAGAGTGACACTGAAAGCAGACTCCCAGGCAAGGGCTCAGGTAGAGGACTTAGACGAAATTGAAGTTACCACAGTGTGTAGAGCCAAGGTCTTAGAAACCAAAGAAAACTCAATTGCCAGTAATAGACTAGACAAAGTAAATGCAAAAACTCACCACAAACCCAATGAAAATAAGTTAACTTGCAATACTGTCAAAGGGTTGCAAAGAAAGTAAAACAGAGTCACATGTACCTTTCACTAACTTCCTTCCTGGCCTTTCTTTCTTCCTTCCTTTCACCTGATACCTCATATTGTTTCCTGAAAGCTGTACCTGGGTCAACCAGGACTTTAGAGTGAAACTGTGGATTTGAGAACTGTAACAAAAATCACTTCTCTGAAAAGCACATGCCTAGTTCCCTCCCAGACATTTTGTAGTGCTGTCCTTCTAAGAATAAAGTTTTTCTTTATTCTCACAATATGAGACAAAATATTAACCTGGTCAATACTTGTAAAGGATAAAGATTAGGTATGTGCATGTGGTGTGTGTGTGTATTTAGGCATTAAACTAAACATGAGACTTACCAAGTTAAGACGTGTGAATAAAGGTGATGGACTTAAATACCAAAAAAGTGGTTAAAAGAACTTCTCTGTAAATTACTTCTCACATTTGAGATTTTAGATCCCCCATAGTTTTCTTTCGCTTTTCACTAGGTGAGTGGGCCATATTTTTGATAGTGAATTAACACATTGAATTTTTATTTAGCAAAACTCTTATTTCAAAGATTCTTCTTTTATCTCATAAACATTCTTTCTTATCATTGTATTTGAATTTATATAGCAATTCAGGCCCTCCAAATAATAACTCTGCATTTTAGTATAATCTTTCCAAAGTATTGGCATTGTGCCTCATTATATTAAAGAAATATACATGCTAAATACCTAAACGTGATGCGACTTTTTACTTGATCATCAAGTTGGCAAGTAGGAAAAGAAATTCTGTAGTACTTCTGTTTTAATTCAATGCCATCTATACTTAATTACCTAATATATAATATCTAATATGTAATCTATTTACAAGTATAGTAGTTTGCATAGATGAATAGTCTATAAGAGAGTAGGAACTGTTTTAATGCTGAAATGACCACAGAGCTTACAATGCTAAATTAGATTAAAAAGATCTTTCCTTTTTATATTCCAGAAGTTTTTGTCAGTGGCTTCAATTGAAAATATGTTTTCTCTAGTTATATGTAGGTTACTATTTTGTCTTACCTTACCTCTTCCCATTATTATCAAATACAAAGTTAAATATTTATCTAGTTTAGATTTTGGTAGTAGTAGAGAGGCCTCTTTGGTTTATTGTTCTTTAGTAGTTTGGAGTTGGAAGCTGTTTTTACACTCTTTGAGGTCCCTTGAAAGGATCAATTATTTACTTTCTAATTTGCCCAGCAGCATCTATAATAGATCAATAGAGTAAGAAGTCCTAATTAACTCATCATGGAAATCAGTGGAAAATTCTCTATCTGATACGTGTAGAGTCTGCCCTTTGGTCTAAAGAACCAACTGCACGAGTCTAGAAGCGAGAGATGAAGCACGTGTGAAAAGGTCTGGGTTTGGGCAACTTTGTGCTCGTTGTGAATCAGGAGTGTGGTACTGCTGTCAAGAGAGCAGAGGCGACTTGAGGCCAGGTTGGTAGGTGGAATTTCCAGAAAAGGAGACAGAGGGTTGTGTCCTATTTGTACTCCAACCCTTAGCCTACTGTCTTGGGGTAAATTGGGGTGGCCCACTTAACTGTATAAATTTTTAAATGTTTAAAATTGGAGCTTATTCAAAGAGTGGTGAGGATGGAGAGAAAACTCAAAACCATGTTTACATAAGGATGAGCTGGAGGAACTGGGATGTTTATTCCGGAGGAGAGAGGATGGAATTGCTGTCTTCATTGGTATAAAGCAGGCGTCCTCAAATTACGGCCCGTGGGCCACATGCAGCCCACCTAGGACATTTATCCGGCCCACCAGGTGTTTTTGCCGCCACTGCCTGTCCTGCTTAGCAGCCGACTCGTCCCGGGGCCTGCAGTCTGGCCCTCCAACGGTCTGAGGGACAGTGAACTGGCCCCCTGTTTAAAAAGTTTGAGGACCCCTGGAAAGGGCTGTCATGTTGTACAGAGGTTAGATTTATTCTGTATGGTCTTGGAAGGCAGAATATGGGCCAGTGGGGTAGATTTTTTTCTCAGTGCAGAAATAGCTTTTTGCTAGTTATACATGTATCTGAAATGAGTGAATTGCCTCAAAAAGTGTATCTTGCCTAGTACATGGTTGCTGTAGTATTAAAGATCCTAAGAAAATCCCACAAGACTGAAAGATCTGAGACACTGGCAGGAAGTGCAATGATAGATGTGTGTGCGTGAGGTCTCAGAGCCTTGAGGAGGGCCACCGTGATTCTTGGATGGCAGTGTCTGAGCTGAGTCATAGGTAGAGGTTGGCTGGGTAAAGAGTAGCAGTAGAGCATTGCAGTGCGAGAGCCAACCGTGTGCAGAAGGCTGTGGGAGAGAGTGTAAGTGCAGGTGGTGGGAAAAAGAACATAACGGAGCAGGAGACGGAGCAGAAAGTGCCTTAAATGCCAAACGGAGCATATGGATTTAGGAGTTGAAACTTGGGAGTAACCTTATCTGATTTGCATATTTGAAAATGGCTCAAATGACAAGGTTGAGGATGGAAATGATGCTAGCAGTGAGGGTTCCCAGAGGCACCTTCTCTCTGAGTCTCAGGTTTCTTTCCTCTAATATAAGGAGCTTGGACTATTCCATAACATTCTATAATAATACATTTGTTTAGTGTCTTTCTTTAAAATCTCATTTTGATTAGCAAGCCCGTGGCACTCTAGGCCTTTCCAGCCTGTGGTACAAATGGAATCATATTGACACCACCAACCGGATTTCACTCATGCTTACCTATTGTGCTGCTTAGGACCTCTGGACCCCAGTAAAAATCCATCCAGATGTCTCTGGAGCCCCTAGAGATTCCTAATGGGAGTATCTAAACTGAGCCCTCACACTCCTTGCCCCATGCTCCTTGTCACTAGCATTATCTGAACCCTCACCTCCCCGTGCCAGGCCTGCTGGTGCCAGGCAGGACTAGACAAGGCCGTGTGTCTCACAAAATTCCCCTTGAAATGAGATCTGTTATCTGCCTGCAAACCCCAGGGCCATTAGAATAGCTGCTGAGAGAGACACCAAGATTTTCTCTCCATTCTAGTTTCCCATAAGGTTTCCAAAGGTCCTCCCTGCCCTAGGCAGCCTTCTTTCAGCAAAAAGACAGGGCACAACAACCTTCAGGCCCAGCAGCTTTGCCCACTAGATCATCACACAGACCCACACCACTCTGTGCCTGGCTCAGAGCTAAACGCTTCTCACTTGTCATCTCTTCTAATCACCCAGACCTGGGGAGGACGGACTAGTAGCATCCTCATTTACAGATGAGGATGAGGCCAAGAGGAATTAAGTAACTTGCGCAAGGCTGAGTAGCTGACAGAGCTAGAATTCAAAACCAGCCTGGTCTGTAATGTTCCAGACACCACACTCTTCACAAGTCCCCAGCATTTGTACAGAAACACTCCATAATCTGTATGAGTAAAGTGCCTTCTTATCTCATTGTCATCTGTGCATAAATTCAAACTTGGCTTTTGCATCCAGGGATGGGAAGAAACAGTGGATGCTGCCATTTCCCACCTGTTGAAGACTTGCCTGTCAAAGAGTTCAAAGGAGCAGGCTTTGAACTTTAGCAGCCAGCTGAACATACCCAAAGACACAAGCCGACTGAAGAAACACATCACCTTGCTGTGTGACAGATTAGCCAAAGGAGGCCGTCTCTGCTTGAGTACTGATGCGGCAGCCCCGCAGACCATGGTCATGCCAGGTAAGAGCTCCCTCCATGCTCCCTAAATACAACTGCACTTTCCCCAAATTAAAGGAATGTGCCTGTGGTTGTATTTGGGGTTTAAATTTCATATTAAAGTGATGATAGCCAAGAAAATTGCTTTCACGTTTCCCTTCAGATATCCTAGGGAAAATACTTGGATAAATATTCTTGGGGTATTTGCTTACTAGACATTTCTGGAGGGCTATGTCTTTTTTCTTCCCTCTGCTTTCAAATATATGACCCATTTTGTTTTGATTCTAACCAATAAAAAGTGGATTAGAGGATAAAACTATTTTTAAGGAAAAGTTTTACTAAATGTGATCTCGCGATACCATATTTCATGAATGTAAATAGCATGATACAAGCACCTAATGTAATCCAGATGAGTCCAGTCCCTTCTGGACTGTTTGCTTGGATTGTGGTCATGGTCTAAGGCGGAAGAAACAAAGGGAAAGACTGGGATCACGAGACGTGAGCAGGCCTCAGGGCCGAGACACCATGGCCAGCGTGGAAATAGATCAAACTTTTTCCTACATGGGCATCAGGTCAGCCCTTTGTATGCACTCAGTTGTGCTCACCCAACTCTCTCAGGGACAGCAGTTCCTAACTCTTGTTTCCCTCTTCCTAGCCTCTCTATGGCAGCAGCAAGGAGCATAATGTAAAGGAATTTATTAAATGCAGCATCTGTAACATCTCCATGTATTTCCTCCTAAAACAAGGACCATGGTGTGGGAAGTGTTGTGATTTTCTCTTCTTCCTTCTCATACGCCTTTTGTTCCCTCCCTTTATTCCCATGCTGATGCTATTGCTGTTGCTTCCTTTTTTTCCCTCAATCAGCATTCCTAAGGGTAAACATGGAGACAACATAGCTTAATCTAATAAGCACAGACTCTGGGGTCAGACAGACCAATGCTCGGATGCTACCTCTATCCCTTAATATTCATATCACTCCATGTACATTACTCAACTTTCCAGAATCTTAGTTTCTTCCTCCAGAAAATGAGCAAGAGAATGCTTGCCTTGTTGCTGGAGGCTTATATGTTTGTAAAACACCTAGCGCAATGATTGGAACAGGGACACCATCACAAAATTCAAGGTATAGTTACTATAATTGTCATGGACATATGTGTGATTCTGCTGCTTTTAGAGAGGCAAGATGATGTTTTGGGCATTGTTGTCACTGGTGGTAAAACATGGGTGTACCAATACAACCCCAAAACAAAATGTCAAAGTGCACAATGGAAATCAGCTAATTTTCCATGACCAAAAAAGTTCTGTCATTCCAAATCAAGAGTCAAAATGATGTTCCTACCCTTTTTTGATATCAGAAGGATTATTCATTAAGATTTGTACCAACTGGACAAAGAGCGACATTTAGTATTGAGAAATGCTAAAAAGGCTGTGTGAAAAAGTTAGTCAAAAGCAACCTGACCTTTTCACTGACAACTCATGGATCTTGCATCACAACAATGTACTGGCTCACACAGCACTGTCTGTGAGGGAGTTTTTAGCTAGTAAACAAATAACTATATTGGAACATCCTTCATAATCACTTGATCTGTCTCTCAATGGCTTTTTTCTTTCCCTGAAGATAAAGGAAATATTAAAAGAAAGACATTTTGATGACATTCAGGACATCAAGAGTAATATGAAGATAGCTCTGATGGCCATTCCAGAAAAAAGAGTTCCAAAATTGCTTTGAAGGGTAGATTAGGTTGGTGTCAGGACATACCTTCCCCAGGGGAGAAGTTCAAAGGTGACCATAGTGATATTCAGCAATGAGGTATGTAGCACTTTTTCTAGGATGAGTTCACAAACTTCATACTCTACGATTTGAAATATTTTTACCTTAACTGCAAACAGATAAAATCCAAATTTTATTCCAAAAAATGTTTCTTATTTGGCCTTTCCACAGAGAAACAGTTCTGACATTGCTGACCTTTAGTTAGGCCCTCTTCATCTTGCCCTCGTGACATTCTGACTCGTCCTTTGGCCTCTACTTGTCCATCTTCTGTCTGCTGTTACAGGATTATTCTCCTAAGAAATCCTTAGTCTTAATGAGATAGTAAATTTAAAATATTCATTATAATCAGCACTTAGCACATGCCCCCTCACCTGCCCACAGGAAAAGCAAAGGAGACTGGAGGGAAAAGGGCATACATAAAAGATACATAAAAGAGAAAATTTAAAAAGGTGTGGGATAGGCCCACGTGATTAGCTGGTTACCTGTCAGTTCAGGCTGCAGTAGCCCTGGGTTCTCTTTCCAGGTCCTCTCTGAACACCCCTATCCAGTGACCTCCAAATCCCTGTCTTAGTCATTTTCATTTAAATAACTAGATTTGTAAGCAGCTAGGATATGGAACATTTAGGCCCTCAATGAAAACTTTTTCAATGTATGGAAGGAAAGGGCAGAGGAAAGAGAAAGGGAAGAGGAGGAAGAGAGGCAGAAAAGAAGAAGAGAAGGTTAGAAAGTAAGTTTGTTCCTCACCCAGGAGGCTGTGAACCAGGTTCCTGCCTCTTGGGCCAGGTCTGGCTGCCTTTGTTTGATAGGAAAGGCTGAAGCTGTGTGTTGTGTGTCACTGTCCAGTCACAATGCCTTGCTTTCGCTTGCTGATGACCCACTTGTGACTTAGTGATTAAGTAGCTCTCTGCCATCTGTGTTGATCTAATCACAATAGTGACTTTTAAAATAAATTGTTAAATTGGTACTCTATGTCATTACCAAGTTCAATTATTACCTATAATATTTTCTTCCTAGAACTCAACATTTTCACACATTTTATCTCTGTACTGAGTATATTTTCGAGGTAGAAGAAGCACGTGGAATTATTGCTGTTTTACAAATAGAAAGTGGAGGCAGGAAAAGTGAAATATCTTGCCTGGAATTACATGGTTACTGGCAGGGTTATGTATAGAATCCAAATCTCCCAGCCCACTGTGCTTCCTACTGGACCACACAGACCACAACGGTACAAATACATTTCCCGCCAGAACCTCCTCCTGTGTAAGCTGTTCTTGATCTGGCCTGGTTTTCACTTATTAAACTGTCCTCGCAGTATGAGAAGGACAGAAATGCTTTTATGCAGTCTGGTTTTTTTTTTTTTTTTTTTTTTTTTGCTATGAGAAATGTATGGAAGATTTATCTTGTATTTGTTTTGTGCTTAATTTTCATTATCTCTACAGAGGTGTCCTTATACCATTATCAGGAGATAATAAATACTGTGAGAAATTGTTTCTGCTTTAAACCTGTTGCACAATTTACAATGTTGGTTTAGCTTTAATAGTTGTATCAGGATATATGCAGGTAAAGTGTCATATTAGACGAGAGGAGATTACTGAACACATAAGCATATAAGACTTTCCACAGACATGATTATTTTTTAAGATCTGGATGAGAACTTCGAGATCATCTGGTCCACCTCCCTGACTTAACAGCTTAGGTGATGAAGTTTGGGAAGGTGAAATGACTAATTGATTATATTAAAAGGCACAATATATATAATTTTGTCACAGTCTCTGGTAAGTTGCAGATGGATAGACATCTAAGAACAAAAAACCCTTGGTCTTTTCTGTCCTCATGACTTTTTTTTTTTTTGAGACAGAGCCTCAAGCTCTCCCCCTGGGTAGCGTGCCGTGGCATTACAGCTCACAGCAACCTCCAACTCCTGGGCTCAAGCGAGTCTCTTGCCTCCGCCTCCCAAGTAGCTGGGACCACAGGCGCCCACCACAACGCCCGGCTATTTTTGGTTGCAGCCGTCATTGTTGTTTGGCGGGTCCGGGCTGGGGATTTGAACCCTCCACCTTAGGTGTACGTGGCTGGCGCCTTAGCCGGTTGAGCTATAGGCGCCGAGCCTGTTCTCATGACTTTATGAGCCCTGCACCTTGGATGTGCCCTTTCTTTGCTTTAGTGAAGGCTGTGATGACAACATCCTCCCTGGTGTCCAGAGTTTGAAAATCTTCCCCACTGGGACTTACATTATGACCTTTTTTGCTTTACCTTTCTCCTCTTTGCCTTTATCAACTTTATCAGGTTTTCCCTTGCCCTTTTCTGGGTGATTTTTTTTTTTTAATTATTCTAGAACCATCAAATACTTCTATTTCTCAGCATCTCTGGTGTTTACATTGTTCTGCTGAGGAATATGGCTCCTAAGGAATCTACTTTTATTAAATGTCTATTTTCTAATTTCTGCTATATCCATTCTACTCTTAGAGAGGAGTCACAGAGGGCCACCAAGGTACTGTTTGTAAAAAATCAGAATGTGAATGATTTTGGAGTCTAGCTGGCCTTCCTGAATGATTTAGTAGTCTAGCTGGCCTTCCCATACATGGATGTTGTCAGTTTTGTCCCTGCAGGTGCCTGAGATTGAAAGACTTGCTTTAGATTTCTTGAAGCTTCCTTGTATAACCTCAGTGTCTAGGACAATATTTCCTATTTCAGTAGCCCGAATTACAGTGAAGATTTGAATCTCTCAAGCACATATCAAAACCTTAATGCATACGTGGGTGGGCCTAACTCATGATATTTGTTAACTAATAATGTTAATTTCATGAACACCTCTTTGTGTTTTTTTTAAACTTAATTTCATCTAGATGATGCTTTGCCCACCAGGAAGTGGTGGGGTAAGAGACAGACCATCAGATGGAAGCCGGGAGAGCAGGTGGTACGCATTCCACAGGAGGGCAGGTAGAGGAAGACAGGCAAGGAGAAAGGGCTGGAAGACTGACCATCCAGGCTGATCACTCAGTGTGAGCAAATGAGTCAGAAGTCCTAACTGACCACAGCTTCAGCTGCATTTTCTTTGGCACCACCAGGTCTCTGGGCCAAAAGGCATCAAGGCAGGGTGGAGGGTGGGGTGGGGGAGAAAGCAAAAAAAGTTTGATAAATAAGTTGAGGCTTTTCACAGATATAGATCAAAATTATTTCACAGATATAGATCTATTATTTTGAGACGTGATATGAACCACCCAGGAATTAGTATTTTGTGCATCTTTATATA